GGACAGGAGGCTATCAGAAGTTCAAGATATCAGAGGCCAGATTCACAAGAGGATGTAGAACAAGGGATAGCTGCTTTCATCACATTGATCTTGGCTGAAATCAGAGAACACCAGAAAGACGTTTACTTGTGTCTTATTGACCATGTCAAGGCATTCAACGATGTGGATCATAATAAACTATGGATAGACTTGAAAAGAATGAGAATTCCAGAACACTTGCTCATGCTCCTGTGAAACTTATACATGGGTCAAGAGGCAAGTATTTGAACAGAACCAGGGAATACTTCATGGTTTAAAATAAAAAAAGTTGTGTATCAGGGTTGTATCCTCTCACCATATTTATTCAATATGTATGCTGAACAAATAATCAAAGAAGCTGGATTATATGAAGAAAAATGAGTCATCAGAACTGGAGGAGGGCTTATTCACAACCTGATGTAAAGATGACACCACCTTGCTGACTGAACGTGAGGACTGAAAGCGCTTGCTGATGGAGATCAAGGATTTCAACCTTCTCTATGGAGTACAAATCAATGTAAAGAAAACAAAAATCCTCACTCCTGGACCAATAGGTAACATCATAATAAATGGAGAAAAGATTGATGTTGCCAAGGATTTTGTCTTGCTTGGATCCACAATCAATGCTCATTGAAGTAGCAGTCAAGATATCAAAAGGCACATTGCATTAGGTAAATCTGTTGCACAAGACCTCTTTAGAATATTGAAAAATAAGGATGTTACTTTGAGGACTAAGGTGTGCCTGACTCACGCCATGGTATTTTCAATGGTCTTTTGTTGTAGTTACATAATCTGTTGTCAATTTGACAGCCTTAAGAGTGAAGGGGTGGAGGTTAGCCTGTCAATCAGGTCCCAGCTTGATGACCTAATTTGGAGGTGCTAAGAAGATAAATAGCCCATTGGAGGCAGGACACACGCTCAGTCCCTGCAAGGCATTCTTGTTGACTAGCCACATGGAGAAAGGCTGATGGCATCCAGTGCCTCAGAGCTGGAGAAGCAACTAGGAGACCCCCGCCCATGCTGAGATGCTTACAACACCACTGGATCCACAAGAATTCCCACCCACTGGTCTGATTTTCCTGCATTCAGCATCATTGCATAAGTTTCATGAGTCTGAAGAGGACCGTGTAGACTGGTATCAGATATATAGGCAAATATCAGACTTATGGACTTGATATGGACTGGACTGGGATATTTTCTCAATATTCAATGGCTCTTGTATATAAAGCTTTCTTATACACATATGAGTGTCCATGAATTTATTTCTCTAGTCCATCCAGACTAACACACCCTTGTAATCAGAGTTCTCTCTGTGGTGGGTGACTGGGCAGCCATCCAATGTGGAAATTAGAAATTTACATTCCTTATTCTTTTTTAACACTCATCTGAACAACAGCTATGCTAAGCACCTGTAGTAATGTTCAATCTGTCCATTGGTATAAAAAATAGGCAGAATTATGCTTGTAATATTTATTGGTTCATTTCATAAAATTCAATATACTTTTGATGAAATACTATATTTTTATACCCTTGCATTTGTTATTTCAGTAAACAAACATATAATGTAAATGAAAAAATTGCCAAACAACCTGTGCTAGTCTGGGTACATTAGAGAAACAAATCCACAGAAACTCATATATGTAAGAGAGAGTTTTATGTAAAGGATAAATGCACATCAAGAAAACAACCAAAAAAATGAGGACCTGATGCCGGGGGCTTAAGTGGAGAGGAAATGGTTTGAGAATGATGAGGGCAATGAATGTACAAATGTGCTTTACATAAATGATGTATGTATGGATTGTGATAAGAGTCATATGAGCCCCTAATAAAAAAGAAAGAAAAAGGAAAACCCAACCCAGTGCTGCCCAAACCACAAGTCCAACATTAACCCATATGTCCAACACCAATCCACAAAGTCCTCCTCCATCTCACAAAACACACCCACTGATGCCCACGGCAGGAGGAAAGCCGAGTCAGTGAGTGTGTAAGCATCTCAGCGCTGGCAGGGGTCTCCACTTGGCTGCTCTAGCACCCAGGGCTGCATCGGGATAGGTTCATGTAGCTTCTCTAGTGTGTGTATCTCTTATTGTTCTTGGTTAAGTATTAATTGTATGAAATAAACTACTTTTTAGTATATCAGCTTTTCTATACTTAAAATGTTAGAGTAGCAAAACTGTTAAGTTATTTGAATCCCATCACTGATTGTATCAGCTCACCATAATTATTCAATCATCAGAAAAGCTGGCTATATAAAGAAAATGTGGTTTCAGAAGTGGAGGAAGGCTTACTAACAAGCTGCAATATGCAGATGACACAACCTTGCTGGCTGAAAGAGAGAAGGACTTGAAGCCCTTGCTGATGAAGATCAAGAACTGCAGACTTCAGTATGGATTACAAATCAATGTAGAGAAAACCAAAATCCACACTGCTGAGCCAATAGGGAACATCGTAATAACTGGAGAAAAGATAGATGTTGTCAAAGATTTTGTCTTGCTTACATACACAAGCAATGTTCATGGAAGTAGCAGTCAAGAGGTCAAAAGATGCATTGCATTAGGTAAATCTGCTGCACAGGACCTGAAAAACAAGGATGTTACTTTGAGGATTAAGGTGTGCCTGAGTCAAGCCATAGTATTCTCTCTCTTTTTTTTTTTTTAACATTTTATTAGGGGCTCATACAACTGATATCCCAATCCATAAACACATCAATTGTGTAAAGCACATTTGTACATCGTTTCTCAAAACATTTTCTCTCGATTTAAACCCCTGACATTAGGTCCTCATTTT